TGCATTCAGAGCTCGCCACTATTGGTGAGAAAATCTGCCCTGACTGCCAAGCCACAAACTCGTCACACGCTCTATCGTTTGACTTTTGGAGCAGAGAGAAGAACCCACACCCACCCTCTAGTACTCCTAATTTTGAAGAGCTTCCTTCGGCTAGTACAGTAACATTCGAATATCCGACTTCTTCTTGGTACTTCATCCAGCAAAACACCGACGAAAGATACATCTGTATAAATCAGAACTAACTCTACTATTTATCTCCACAACTGGGTGATGAACACCTGCCTTCAACACCAATGTGGAGTTCATTCATCAATTTCGAAGCAGTCAGTAATTCCTTAAAACAATGAAATAAACAGTTAGTGCACATTTTTTACTTCGAGTGTTAAGTGATGATATGATGACGATGGTTTTGATAGCGTGCTTTATTACAAGCACTATTTGCCACACGAGACCACTTTAACATTAAAAACGCAGCTGGTGTAAAAGACACATCGTACTAGTTAGTGTCTGAAAGATGGTCCTTCCGAGAGCGAGGTGAAGAGGTTCCCAGCAATAATTGTGCAACACTCACGTTATTCAAAGGTGCGCCGCTATGAAATTAGAGGTTTGTGATAGCACGATCTATTATGTTTCAATTCGTTATGTACAGTGTTATGTAGCCATAGTCAAGCGCATGACTGGCGCTGTGACGTGTAGTATGACTGTGTCGATAAGCAATACGTACCACACAGTGACGCTACACGCCATACAGCCAGTAACACGCCTGATCTAAAACAAAATGTGTCCGAATAGTCAGTCACCCAATAGTCCAGTGTGGGAGCGGTACGCACGCCGCGTGTTGAATGGCGGTAGAGACACTGGTAACATCGATATCAGAAGGCCATAACTACATTCCTGCAAACTTCACAATGGAAAAGGACACTTCAACAGTTGCATACCAGTCAATCTCGCCTTCAAAAGGAAACCAGCTTCCAGCTAATATTACACTATGTCTCTAAGTGGATATACTATGCACATTAGACCCGAACTCACAACCCAGGTAGGGGTAGGCGTTCAAATCAGGGCTTATTCCAGTAAGATTGTTCTAAACAAGGCTACAAAACAGTGCATCCGGCCAGGAACGCTATCACGACACCTCAAGGGAACCCACAAGTTTTAGAACGGATACTCCTCTTAACAGACCTAAAGACACATTACGCGACTGCAGATCATGAGTGTCGATTGGCGCACCAGTGAACTAGGGATCCTAGTTAAAGCCCACAGAGAATCCAAGTGAGGTCCAATGGTATTTTAGTGTTGGACGAGCATGCCAGGTGCGCGAGAGAGAATCGGAAAAACCGCGAGCGAGGTTACACAAATGAAAAATGCAGACATCTGTACATTACGGGTGGAACTAGAACGAAGAAGGTGTGGTCAGTATGAGGTTTACAAGCCCTTACCGTTCTTAGCAGGCACTCTCAGTGGCCAACTGACGCCCCACGCTTGGCTGGGCTCCTTTACCGTGTAAGGGGAAGGAATCCTACAATCCAGGCAGTCATAGAATGTGCCTTTGAGTCAGCGAAGAAAGAAACCTGGGGAACTGAACATCTGGCTTCTTTCAATGAACATCAGGACTACTCATCAACAACTATTGAAGCTGTTTTCGCGCAGTTATCATCAGCCACGTAACTGCACACAGAATAATTCCAAGGCAAGCCGCTCCTTGTCAGCGAAGGAGACCCTTGTCGTCGTGAGCCTTATGCCTTGCACGACCAGAGACATTCGATATTCCCTTTACAATACTGAAGTTATAAAAAGAATACCAAAACGTACATCACGTACTACCGGCCCACCATCACTTGTAGAACTCGTACATGATGAGTCTGCTAGAATAAAAGACAATGGGTAAATAAGACTGAGGAGCGAAGTACTACAGTGAAGGGGTCAAACTCACCCTTCCTTTGTGACCCTTCCCCAACGGGACTCTGAGAATAACTAGTATTACGGCTGGCCCTTGAAGACCAGTTATCCTGAAATCATTTCAGAAAATTTTCACAGCTAGGGGTACAGTTAACAAGATTGTAAGTTCACTATGTCAGGGTGAGCGCAGTACCCGCAGTAAACTGTTCGTGAAGGTAAAAATGTCGCGTCGTGAACGCACACAGTAGGACATACACTAACCTGGCTTGGTTACCCAACTTTTAGGAAGCTCCGGAGTGGGTTGCCACGCGGGCAGCGACGCGCATGACCCCGGCAGGTACCCACTCGCGCGGTCAGATTACAGTATCCCACTCGAAGAATCTGGATGGGTCACGTAGTCTGCAGCCTGTTGTGTGCATTTACGACCAACACAATTATTCTCACGCGCAATTTTCGAGGGTACTGTATGCACCCTGAAAACTTGAACTTATAATCTAATGCACTGAAAAAGCTAGGGCGTATGAAGAAGGCGTGACTTAGCAGCCAGGGCACATTTCTTACCAACTGTAGCGACCTCAGAAGGACATCACTGTTGGAGCAAGGCCGCTGTGGCTGCGCCAGATACCGCGCCCCGCCACACGTCCTACCATCTGCAGAGATCAACTTTGCAGTTCATCTGGAACTACCTGGTCGTCCAACATTTGGTCCCGTAAACGCCGGACTAGGTCCGCATCAACAACTTCTTTCAGAAGATCACATATTCGAAATAATACTCCGTTCGAAACGGCCAGTTTAGAGCTGTCCCTGAACACGAAAGGAAGATTCTTGCATAGTAAGGAAAAAGGAACTATTCCAAACAGGATTGCAAACCTTTGAACATAGGTTGAATAAATGACCAGCTTTTTGACTTGATCCCTTTCTTCACTACGAAGCACTCTTTGGAACTTATCCGACCATAAAATATTTTCCTCATAACTCTCATGCCGGGCACAATCACTTACAGCAACATACGTTTTGATCTGAAAAAGTCAAAAGTTTCACCGCTTTATCAACACTTTTGTACTGCTATTCTTACTGAATGAAATTTGATACGTCTATGTGTGTTTGTATGTGCGGTAATCTGGTTTCACCTGAGCAATAACTTGGAGGAATCGGATCAGGTATGGGAATGGTAAAATATGGGACATGGAGTACAGAGCAAGCATGGCCTGCTCTGAGCCCCGCCCACCGTGGGTGGGGCCCAGGAAAGGCCATGCGTGTGAAAGCGAGCCATGTTAAAAGTCGTATTCGGTCTAGAGCATCAAAGAGGCAGGGAAGACGTGGAATAAGTATAGCAAGACGGCGGACGCAATGGGCAGGGCGTGAGCCGCGTCGGGCGGAGCCAAACAAATACCAACTTTTTCTTGAAATTGTTCAACCTAGGTAACTATGGGAAGATTTTACCACTTTGGCTACACTGAAATAACTTACCCTGACTACCCCATCCTTTCCTAGGAAAACTTCTCCTTTATTGTCTTCCGGCGAATTTACATTAACCGATTTGATATCCACATCGTATACACCATCACAATCTCTCGATTTGATCGAGAACACAATTTCATAGCTTCTACATAAGCTGAAATAAAAGTCATTACGGAAATGGACACGTGATTCAGCTTGCTGAACAACCAGGCAGAAAATATCCGATTCACCCGTGAGAAGCCAGTGAACACTTGGCTTCCCTTCCTCAACGTACAGATTCAACTTGAGCGGGGGTGCTATCGGACGAAGTGGTACCGCAAGCCGAGCAACAAGAATATCCTGGTCCATTTCCGGTCGGCGCATCCAGTGAGGACAAAGCGGGCTATCGCTAGGAATGTTCAGAACGGCAAAAGTGATCAGGAGAAAGCAAAATCTTTGAAGCTTGCTGGGAAGATAGCTCTCTCCAATGGTTACCCCCCCCCCCCCAAAAGATGGAACCTCCCTGGACCACCCACTAGGCGACGAGATAGGGCTGCGAACGAGGATTCCGAGAAGGTGCCGTTTTACTTGCCCTTCGTCAGTGATGGGATCAGCTCCGCCGTAAGAACGGCCCTACGCAGGTCCAGCCTCGACTCAATGGTCCGGGTGGTCGAGATCCCTCCCACGTCCCTTAAGCAGCAATTGGTCCGCAATCGCTGGTACGACCGGTATTGCCTTACCCCCCATTGTGTTATCTGCCCACATGGGAAGCAGGGTGACTGCATGGCATCAGGTGTGATCTACCTGATCTCATGCATCCTCTGTGGGGACGAATACATCGGCGAAACTGGGCGACCACTTTGCTCCAGGGTGAAGGAACATCTGGACGGTATGAAAATCGAGGCCTCAGACCTCCCTCCCCCCTCTGGGTGGACACAGAGTGTACGCACACGGAGGGGCGGAGTTCCAAGTCTCTGTCAGGATCTTGTCGCGAGAGCCTCACACTTCAGCCCGCAAAACTTTGGAGGCCTTCTGGATACGCGCCAAAACCCCAAGTTGAACAGGAAAGATGAATGCCTAGCCATAACAAGTGAGCTCGCCCCTTCGCTGACCTGTGTGGGCTTCAATCGCCATCGGCTTCGGGTCGAAGGGCTGGGTCAGCTGAAGCCACCCACAGTGAGTCAGTTTAGCGGTGGTCGAAACTCAAGCTAGCCGTGCTCTCCTAAGGTTAGTTGGTTTGTGCTTGTGAGCTACGAGACCTCCCTAGACGCCTTTAGTCTATGGTGAGCTGTTCTTAAGTCTGAAATGGCATTCGGCGGTAGGTCACCTTATCTTTGACTTTCCAGGCTCCGACGAAGGCGACAAGGCCGAAACGTAAGCCAAATAAAAGTTGTTAATATCTTGGCTGTGGTTTTAACATCTAATCAGAAGGACCTCACACGATGCCAAGATTCATTGAAAGTCGATCATGGATGCTAATCAAAGAAGTCTTTGTGGGGGTAATATCAGTAATGTAATGTTATTGTCCCGTTCAAAAATATGGAGAAATATAGAGGAATGGCAGGAAAGCAAAAGGGATAGGGCAGCAGGGCACTATACCAGGACGTAGAGGGTAAATACGCCTCTTGCAAAAACCAGAATCTAAAGGCACATTTCGCAACCGAGTCTTGCAGTTTATCGTTGCAGTTTTTGGACCACTAGAACACGTGCCGCACTTCTAAGCTCACACAGGCAAGACAGAATTTCCAAACAGACGGCAGTGAATTGCAATTGCAAGTAATTTATTGGGAAGGAAGTGGGCGGAGCTTGACTTCGACAGTGGGCGTGGTCAGATGGTAGCTGGCGGCACTAGGTAAAAGGGAAGTGGGAAATGTCGAAATTTCCGAAAACTTTTGTTGCAACAATGGCACATATAGCCCCGAAACGGACTTGGCGCAGTTTACCTGTAGGTTCTCTGGATTACCAGATAACTGCGAAATGTGCCTTTGATAAATCCAGACCTAGCTTCCAACAGTCTCAATACTGATGTGGATGTACTGTATGTAGGGCTTGCAAACAGACGTACCCTCTATCAGGCCTGATTTCTAGTACTTCTCGTCGACCATAACAATAGCATTCGAATACCGGGCCTTTCCCAGTATTGCGATTGTCCAAGACAACACCAAGTAAACATTCACCTGAAATGTAACCACATCAACAGAAAACTGGCTCATTAGGTAATATGTT